ACTTTTCTCACTTCTTTCAGCTAAACTTGGTCGTTAATTATATTTCCCGTGTCTTGATGGCGTTCTCTTTGTTCTCTTTCAGTCCAGCTGCTAAAATCATCAGACCTTGGCCGTCATAGTCTTCTCTACCTAAAGGAGATTGGATATGGCTGGTTCGGCAAAGTAAGAGATGTAGTTGTTTTTAACTTTTTCTCTTTTTTCTATTTTTACTGCTCTGAGAATCCATGTTTGAACCCGTTGACACTGTCTTGTTTTGTCTCAGCTGCATCTGTCCCCACTGTACTACATGTTCTCTGATGTTCTCTCTACTCTGTATGGAATGCAAGTGTAATGCGATGATGATGATCTCATTCCAGTGAGGCTAATTTTTGGCACTTGTGTCAGGGTGTTGATTCCATGGGAGCCCGAATGAAATTCACAGTCACAGTGGATTCTTTTACAAAACAGCAGCACATGCTGCGGTCCACTTCACGATCTGCTGTGACATGTGCTTCTCCCCCCTCTCTCACAGGTCCTCCTGGGTGAGGTCAACGCCGGTCTCAGCACCACCCAGGTCGTGGTGAAGGAGCTGAAGGCCAGTGCCAGTGTCCAGGATCAGATGCAGTTCTTGGAGGAGGTCCAACAGTACCGGTCAGTTAGTGGACTAATCAGTTTTAGTCCCAGTGTTTCTCTAACGGTTGGTGATCCAAAAGTGGGTTACGGGCCTAAATCTGGTGGGTTGTGAGACTGGTACACTCTCTGCTCTGCCTGGGTTTTACTTCAAAGACGCAGTATCCTTTAAATTCAGTTTTTTCCTAATCATGTCCAAAATGTACTGTTATGTACTGTAAATAATAAACTTCACTTTTTGGGAATACAATTTGGTAGTAGACAGAGGGGGGTGATTAATTAATTATGGATTAATAATTAATATTCTATAGGCGATGTTATGTGTTACTTTCCAGCACATATATACTGTAGCACCTACATTTACTGTGTGCAGTTGTTATTGTGTTGTTGTAGTTAAGGTTCTTGTGCATTTAAACCTTTCCAAATCCCATCTCTTCTGCCAGGACGCTCCAGCACCCCGCCCTCCTGCAGTGTCTGGCACAGTGCACAGAGGTCACTCCTTATCTGCTGGTCATGGAGTTTTGCCCCCTGGTGGGACACAGTTTCACAGTTCATTAACACATACCATGATGCTTTCAGTGTTCAAGAGTCAACATATTAATTTTCTCCTCCCTCTCAGGGTGATCTGAAGACTTACCTCCACAGTTGCCGTGTAGCTGATGCAGAAACTCCCGACCCTCTGATCCTCCAGCGAATGGCCTGTGACATCGCCTCAGGACTCCTGCACCTCCACAAACACAACGTCATTCACAGGTACCCTGTCTCAGTCAGTAGGAATTTGAGTTGGGTTATGGTTTTTTTAACCTTCATCAGTGTGAGTAGAAAAATCATTGACAGGTTGAATCCACCAATATGGTCTTGTTGGCCCCCTGCAGGCCACTCCCTGTAACAACATCCTGGTGCTGCCTGAGTAGTTATCACAAACTCCAGCATCAGTGATTTTGTTGCAGGAGGTGAGCCACTCTGTCTCTCTCTCCAAGTCTTAACATTAAATAAAGCAAGTGTCCTTCACATCATATTATCTTTTTAGAGAAGATTTAAAGAGGTGATGTATGTAGCATCATAAGTGTACATGTTGTAGGAAAGCTAACTCGTCTTTTTCTTATCAACAGTGACCTGGCTTTACGAAACTGCCTGCTCACCTCAGAAATGACAGTTAAGATCGGAGATTACGGCCTTTCTCACAGCAGATACAAGGTCAGACTTACAGTCATTGGTTGATTTGTTGATGTTTTTCACTAGAATCTAATAATCATCTCAACAATTTCCCAAATACGGGATCAATATAGTCCAAAATATTATTATAATATTTTTTCTTTCTGCAGGAAGACTATTATATTACACAAGACCAGATATGGGTGGCCCTACGTTGGATCGCACCAGAGCTTATAGACGAGGTCCACGGAAACTTGCTGGTGGTCGACCAAACCAAGAGCAGCAACATATGGTGAGATATACAGTACTGTACCAACAAACAAAGATGTCTGGTCATTCTAACATCATTTGTCTGCATGTGAAACACTTCTTCTGTGGCGACAGGTCACTGGGTGTGACTGTGTGGGAGCTGTTTGAACTGGGAAACCAACCGTACAGACAGTACTCTGACCGACAGGTGCTGACCTATGTCGTGAAGGAGCAGCAGCTCAAACTACCCAAACCTCAAATCCAGTTCCCTCTGGCTGAACGCTGGTAAGACCTGGTCTTCTGGTCGGATATGAGAGGGGAAAACATGCAGTACTGTACTGTACTGCCTACACAGTTCAGTACTGGTTGGATGTGAAAATAATGGGAATAAAAGGTACAAGGTTAACCCAAACCTTTAAAGAAAATGTGGCATTTTGATCTGTCGCCATCTAGTGGCATTATCTCAAATTACTATCAATTCAACGAAATGAAAAGAACAGAAGGAATCATTCAGTCTTTACTAATGGCTGTACAGTGTTTGGGTGGCCGGATTAGAAAGCCTAGCGGGCCGTATCCGGCCCATGGGCCATAGTTTGCCCGTTTCTGGGCTAAACACTCCAGTGTGCCAACAGTGGTTCTCTAGTACTGTTAAACACTGTGTTTTTCTTGCCAGCAGAAGCAGATGATCAATATTTTTCTATTAATTGTGATCACTCTGGTGTTAGCCACAGTGGGCCAGCCACTACTGTCGTATTGATTTGATATTCTTTAGTTTTATTTGTCAGCACAGCAACTGATGGAAGACACACAACCTCCACTGGCCTTTTAAATGCAGTGAGAGATTCAGTGTGAGGCTTGCCAATGTAGAAATACATTTTCTCCAAACTAAGTTGATCTAATAAAAACATTTTGATGTACTATTCTCATCTTTTCACTTTTATCTTTTCTTTGTGTCCAGGTATGAAGTGATGCAGTTCTGCTGGTTGCAGCCAGAGCTCAGACCCTGCAGTGAAGAAGTTCACCTTCTGGTCACGTACCTCTGTGCCAAAGGCTCTAGTGAGGCCGAAGAAGACTTTGAACAACGCTGGAACGCCCTGAAACCCAACCTGCTCGGTAGTGACACCCACACAGCTACATCCACAGCCCTAGTCCTGACCCCGACACCTCCACAGGCTGAAGTCACCAGTACAGAACCAGCACAGACAGTGGAGCTGGCCTCCTCTGCCTCGTCCTCCTTCCCCCTCCTGGAACATTTTTCTGACAGCTTCCACTCAGACACAGGAGACGATCTGTTAACCGTCACGGAGACCAGCCACGGCCTCAACTTTGAGTACAAATGGGAGCAGGCTCGAGCTGAGCAGCCATACTGTTCATCATCCACCAGTGGGCCACTGGGTCAGGGGAACCCACACTACCAGGATATTTATTATTCAAGCAAAGAAAGCACCTCAGGGGGCTGTAGGACGGACAGCCTGACCTCAGGTGTCTCTCTGTCCTACTATGAACCTGAACACCCAGGTGTGGTCCCAGTGCTGAGTGCCCACAGCCCCTCGGTTGGCAGTGAGTATTACATTCGCATAGAAGAACCAGTAGAGTGTAGAATCAACCTGGAAGACACAGCAGTGGACTACAGCCCAGTGCTGGAAGCCCATAACAGCAGGTTATTCTGTGAAAGTCCGCCTGTCTCTTCTGTGGCAGCGTCACGTGCCTATTGGTCAACTGCCAACAGATGCGGCGAGTACGACTCTGACTCAAGTCCTGCTGATAAACTAACCACTGATCCACTGCTGAAAAGGGCCCCCAGCCCCTGCTGCCTCTCACCTCATCAAGACGGCATGATGCCATGCCGACAGTCCTGCCGGTCTGAACTGGATTCATCGCCGGAGTGCGAGTCGAACCTAATCGGTTCAGTGAGATGTTTAGAGAACAGCCGCAGTTTGTCCAAGGTAGTGAGCAGCCCCAGCTTGGGCTTCTGTGACCCTTACCTCGAAGCCAGTTCGGGTCACGGCACTGTGAATGAAAGCTGCCACAACATGACGGGTCCCCTCAGAAAGACACAGCCCTTGGCTAATCACATTAGCATCGATGTAGGTTCAGAGGACGGCCTGCTGGTGGGCCGACAGCGGGGTGATAATTGTGAGGATGACCTTTTGTCTGAAGGGGACGCCACTAACTGGACATCAAACCATTCAGCAAATAATAACAGCCTGATGTTCGATAACAGACAGACAGGCAGTGGGCACGACAGCTATTTAGACTTTCATTATGTTGACCACTGTAACAACACCCCGTCATGGTCCTTATCTAAGCCCACCACGAAAACCTTTCAGAGCTCCACGTCTTTTGGCAAAGTGGAGAGTGGAAGAGGAGACAATGAACCTTCAGAACTAACTTCCTACATTCACCTGAGTCAAACAGAACTGGATAAAACTGCTGCTCAATTTGAACTCAATCGTTCCAGAAGTTCAGGTGTTGGGAGTAGACTGTACTCCGAGCCTCAGATGATTCCTGAGACCAGCTTTATTAAATCACCATCGTCTTTCAAGGATTCTCAGAGTGGGCCGACAGCCTTTTCAGACAAACACAGAGGACACATCTGGGATGGAGTTCCAGCGGCGGTCAACTGTCCAGAGACGTTAGAAAGTACCAGAGTGACAGACGGTAGAAGAGAATCCAGCTCTGCCCTGGTTGACATTGGTGACTACAGTGAGGACGAGGACGACATGGCAGATATTACATCAGGTATATTTGCTGACTATAATCTAGATTATGCTGAGGGGGAGGATGAAGAACTGAGCCCTGTGAAGAACCCAGAGGAGACAACAAGCTCTGCTCACATCCTTAACATGTCCTCTTCCATGGCCAGTCCCAGCGATCAGGCCTTCAGTCCCTTTAATACCACCATCCTGCCCAAATCGTTGGACAGTGGCTACGACACAGAGAACAACGAATCTCCAGAATTTTTCTTCAAGGAGCTTGGAGATCCTCAAGAATCTGAGAGGAGCCCGAGGCTGGCAGGAGATCCTGACCTGGTTCTGCTGGTCGGGTTAGGCCAGGGCGTCTGCACCTCCACCAGCAACTCAGAGTTACAACTAAAAAGTCTGACTGACAAGAACACATACCGTGACTCGGCCTATTTTTCTGACTACGATGCTGAAAACGAGAGGAGCCCTCAAAAGGAAGGCAGTCAGTTCTTTGCCGGTCCGAACAACCATGAGTTAAATTCTGAAAATGTAAGCTGTGTTAAAAGTGATGAAACATTGATCAGACACGTCAACAATGAAAACTTAACAAATTTGAGACTCAAGAAAGGTTATGTTGCAGTGAAATTCTCAGCGGCTAATGCTAGTCCACCACACTCCCTTCCTGCTCCTGCGTTGTCAATGCTTGCACCATTTCCTCCGATGGGCGGCTGCTTGACCAAAGAGTCGGCCCCTGCAGAGGACAACCTTGGACTGGACACGGAGCAGTCAGGAGAGGGGGAGGAGGCATCCTCAGACTTCAGCTCCATCGCCTCCGAGCCATCTTCTGCCCTCCAGGAAGCCTCAATTAACCAAGAGGAGAGCAACAGGAAGTCAGAGGATTCCTCTTCTGTCAAGTCCTCGAGCTCTGACTCCAACCAGACTGACTGCAAAGATGAAGCCTCCAAAGAAAATGACGGATCCACGGAGGAGGAGGAGCTGCCAGAATTCAACCACACAGAGGAGGAGAGAATGGAGAGCGTGAGAATAAACGAAGAGGATTTTGAGGATATAGACGCCGATGAGAGCGACTCACAGGACAGTCTGTGTGAACAGTCTAACGGCCCCGGTGAGCTCTCAACCTCCTCCTCCCTGCTGGAGCTGTATGGAGAAGACGTGAGGGCGCCGCTGGAGCAGGCGGAAGATGAAGAGGACTCTGACGACAGCGAGTCTGATGACGAGCTGAGGACCTACAACATCCACGAAGAAGAGAGCGAGGAGAGTGAGGAGGATTTCACCGTAGTGCCCGTGGTAGTGAGTGACTGCAGCCGGGCCAGACACCTACGTAGCCTCCTGAAGATGCCCAGCCTACTCACCCAGACATTCTGTGACGAGATAGAGAGAAAGAAGAAAGCAGTGTCCTTCTTTGATGATGTCACTGTGTACCTTTTCGATCAGGTAGAGAGACTCTCACTCTGTCACACACGCTGGTTGTTTTCTGATAGTTTTTAATCTTAACCTTTTCTGCTCTGGATTTTCAGGAGAGTCCTACGGGTGAACTGGCCAACTACACCTTCCCCAGTGCAGCAGAGGCTTGTGGGAATAATTCCTCCGATGGAAAAACCTGTGAGCTTGAACCACAACCTGAGTCTGAACTTGAAGATAAAGCCTGTGAGACATGCATTTCTGAGGAGAGTGATGGGAACAACTCAGGTCAGGGTAGGTCCATCAGGATTTTAATGTTAAAGGTAGTTTACCTTTCTTCCTGCAGGGCGTGCCGTTGGGTGCTATATTCAATTTTCTGCAGAAAATAGAAAAGTCAAGAACATGTCTTGGCCCATGTTGTATCTGGCCGAGTCCTAACAAAATGTGATTCATACAGCTGATAGGTGAACTGTTTACAGACAAGCTTGCCCCACCAAAAAAATGAATACCTAACAATAATAAGTTCCTTCATGCTGACTGATTCGACCCCTGGCTGACCCCTGGCTGACCTAAGTGCATTACTAAGGCACTACTGGGTCTTTTTTACATCAATACTAAAACTAAAACTAAAACTGTGCACTTGCAAAAGTACAAGACAGTTCACAGTGCTGTAGATCAACATTCACTTGAACCGACCAATGAAAGTAGTTGAAAGTGAATATTTTAAATGACGTTTTCAAAAATAATTTCTGTAAACTCTAGCTTGAAGTGATTCTATCGTCACATTAACTATCTGTGCCTTCAGATGGTAGTAATGAAAGAGAAGAAGAAGAAGCTGCATTTGAAAACCCTCCGTCTCCAGAAGATCCCACCCCTGCGTCTCTGGCCCCGCCCACATCCACCTCCAAAACTACTGAGGATCCCAAACCTCCTGCTGTGGCACTGAACCGGTTTTTGGTTTCACGATTCTCTATCACACAAGTCTCCGACTCCTACGTGAACGCAAACACAGGTCCGTAAAAAACACAACACACATTCACTTTTTGTATAATAATAAATTATAAATATTTTAAGTCTGGTGGGTAACAGGATGAACCATAAAATTATTTCTAATCTGCTTCTTAACAGGTGACAGTGAAGAAAGTTCCAGAGACTGACGGTTCCACGGCCCTGACTGGAAGAAGACACAAAGAACAGCATTAATACATTCAGATGTTTCACATAGTTTTATTTTTACTGACGTTTTAGGGCGTCCGACTGATGACCCTACTTTTCTAGGCAGTGCCTCATTCTGTAGTGAACCACTCCTGGTGATTTGCACACATTTTCCCTTTATTTTTTATTTCTGTGATGAAGGAATGATTGCTGCTGGTATAAAAAAACAAACAAAAAAAACAAAATATAATCATAGCACTGAAGTAAAACTTCAAATATAAAATAGGTGCAGACGTGGTTCAACATGATGAACATTATCATTAATCTAACCTTCATAAGGACAGAGCCAGAAATTGAAACTGCTGAAACCGTTCTTCGTCCCTGGTCCTTTTCCTGGTATTGCTGAAAACATGTCAGAACACATCACTTGTTTAGTCACGCTCACTCCCATATCAAAGCAGTATCAAGAACACTACAGCTTTTAACCACAGGCCCTGTTCTGTTTACTGTGTTCTCCTGCACATCAGTGTTATTTTTCGAATCCCATGAGAATGAGACTAAGACAGTGTCGTCACTGTCGTGTAAACGTACCACTTGTAAATGTAGAATAGTATCGTCGTTATCAGATTCATACATTTTTACCTTTCAGGCCCACAGTCATCTGTCAATAGAAAACATAAAAACAAAGTACCGTCAGAGGGAAAAACAACTAGGTCCCACAAAGGCCAGCAAACGCAGCCAAACAGCTTCTACTTTCTCAACATAACACAGTACTCAAAATATTATTACCAGTGCGCCGTAACAAGAACTGCTGGCGAGTCAAACACCACCATCTGTCTTACACCTGTGTAAGAGAACTTTGTGATTGTTTGAGAAACACTAAATGGAAACGAGGAAGGTTTTCATTGGCTGCTTTTTTTGTTTCATACCAGTTCTGGTTCCCATTAACATCTCAGCTGTGGGAGGAAATGTAAGTCGGCTTCTGTGAACATCTGCCATTAATGAGTCACCTCTTGCCTCCTGAACACAGTCCAGTACCATGTCCAGGTCCTACAGGTCATTATTAAAGCAGAAGCAGGAACAGGCGAATGTCATCCCTGTTGGGGTAAAAAGTAACAAGTTCACCTAGAAAAATAAAGGCCACGGGGGCGTATTGGATACGGTTGACAACATTTTGAAAGAAATGTTGGACAAAAACACAAGTACAGTACAAGCCTACCTGCACAACCCCTGCATTGATGTGGTATCTTACCATTATCTTATCATAGTACAAGTACTAGCCTAATGTTGCATGGCATTGGTATTGATCTTTTGAGTACATAAGGAGGTGAAAAGCGTGGTCTGTTCTGTCGAAGGCCTGCTTTTTTAATTTAATCGTATAAAAAAAATCTCACTCACTGTCTATCAATGTATTTGACCAAAATAGTAGTGTTATTTTTTTTTTTTCTAAAGAAGAAATAAGCTGCTGTATAGACAGGACAAAAACTCAAGTCTGAGCAGTGCCTGTCTGCTGTACCGAACACAACTGGTACTGAAAGTGTCGTCGAGTCCCATGCGAGTCGCAACAATCGTCACACATTGCGCACCCTATGATAGCCGCATCTGGGCCCCCGAGGTGAAGAGAAAATCCTCCCCCACCGTATGAATGTGAAATCAACATGTAGCAAAAAACAGTATTTACTACTGTTGTATGGACAGCTGCCTCCCCCTCTCTGAACCTCCTTCGTAGCTCAAAGTGCCAATCCTCTATCAGCCTTTAAACTCCTGCAGGAAGAAAAAAAAAAACAAAAAACACTCACGGTATTTTTTGTACAAGTGGAAAATTCGCCAAAGAGATGTATCACAAAGCCCATTGGCAGACGTTCGTGGAGAAGGTGAGGCGGGCTGTTCTATGCACCAGTAGTAACGTCATCGCTGACTCCATCCACTCATGTATTGCTGTTGAAGTATCCTTAATGAATAAACCCAAATACTTTTTTTTTCTCTTCTCGTCTCTGTCGTATGATTCGGAACAAGGACACAGGTAAATCTGACACACACACACACACGCACACCATGACAAGTTTGTGGCCACTTGGATTTATTCTGGACAGGATAATTTAGATGAGCTTTCTGTACAGTACAGATATAATACAAACAAGGACAGAAGTGAGAAATGGACAAAACAAAAGCTGGAAGAAAAAAGTAAAAACCAAACAAACAAACAAAGAAACCACCGAATACATGTTCCATCTTGATTTCCAATGAGCCGTGTAATAAAAGCAGGATCACATTCCTCAGTGTAAAGAACTCATCCGTGGTGAATTACTTCTCCAGCGTAGTAGCGCAGAGTAATCGCAGGCTAAGAGGAATTTTAACTAAACTTTTTTTTTTTTTTCTCATCCACAAACATCCTTTCAGATCAGGCAGAAATTTTCACCACCATCTTTCCACCCACCCACACACACGCACACACACACGAGCTTCGTCCTCCAGCCGTTCTCCCAGGTAAGTGTGTAACACTCGGAAAGATCCAAAGCTGTAATACTGTATCTTATCTGATAAGCAACCACTCCCTCAAAGCTAATTATATATATATATAAAAATTACCCTAATAACGTATGTATTTCTGAGAATTGAAATTAGTAGCAACACAGAGATAACCAGTGATTTCAGAACGATTGATCCAATGGTGCTTGGAGCCTACGTCACAAACAAAAAGAAAAAAAGAAACAAAGGCACAGTTCCCACATTTAAACTCTAGGTGGACTGTTTCTACAACTACAAAATAAACTCTCTATTCTCACTTAGCCAAAGCAGAAATACAACTGTCCGATAGCTGTCTGTGGTCGCATCACGTCTTCAGTTTTTGTCACAGTGATTCACTGAAAACTTAAAGCCATCATTTCATTTCACATCCACCCTGAAACTTGCAGCGCAGATTGGTTCCCACTGCTTATTATTAATGTATATAATCTTAAAATTAATTTTACAGAATGAAAGAAAATTCTAACAGAAAAAGTGCAGATAAGTAATAACGTGGCAGCGTCATTAAGATAACCAAGAAGCCGTATCTTATCCACAACGGGTGGGATCTAATAATAATAATTATAATTAAAAATCTACACTGAGCTTGAGAATGTGCAGACAGCGACCGTGACTGTTTGTGGAAGCGTTAAAAGCTCAGCTCTCAGTGAAGAGTGACACGACCTGTGAGGTGATTGGGTTTTAAAACATGGAAGCCCCTTTTTTTTTCGCCACCTGTAAAAATAAGGGCTCGTGATTGGACAGAAGGGAAGAGCACAGCAGTCTGCTAGTAGAAGATGGGCGCCGAACGGTCATCACTGTAGATGGGCCGGAGGTAGACCTCCAGGGAACGGTCACTGTGGGGAGAGGAGGGGCGGGGCGGGGAACAGTGACAGTTAGCTTGAAGACAGAACAACTGGTCAGACAAATGGCCTATGAAGTAACACCACCCAGAGAACTTATCAAATGTTTAACTTAGGCTTTGAAGCAACCTGAGCACTGTAATTTGGCATCTACTGTCAAAGCAAGCCTGAGGTCAAAGGTAACGTTTCTAAAAAGCATGCAAGCAGGAGGTTAGTGTCCTTTCTCTATTTTAGCCTTAACCGCTGACAGGAAATCACCAGAGGCCCATTTGACTGCAGCGTCCATGGAGCACAAACACCAGTGATTCTCAGCATCCTACTGCAGCCATGCAGCCAATGACAGCACAGAGAACCAGGCAGTAGTAAAGACAGGGGCGGGGGGAAAAACAGTAGTTGATTGGCTGAAAAGCAATGGAGGCTGGTGACTTACGGTGGTCCTGTTCCCTCAGAACCGGGACAACTCTGGACCCAAACTGGAAGGTAAAAAGAACCTTTGGGTTTGACTGTTTCAACCTCAAAATAATGCACGGGTCATGAAGTTTGTAAAGTCACTGCTGGTTAGTCTGGCACGAGATGAGCAAAGTGTAAGTAGATCGAACAACAACAATAACTAAGACTGAGAGGAGACATGGGAAACAATACATTTCATGCTCAACATGCATATGCTATTTATCAAATTAATTACCTGGACTCTCACTATTAATATAATATAAATACCATTGACAGAGAAGCTGGTTTACTCTCTAAAAATGCCAAAAAAATAATATGCAATTTGGAATTGAACCTGAACCTTGACTTGTTAGGCAAAAAAAGAACAGAGAAAAGTGTTTCAGTGAAATGACAAAATCACATCTGTACCAAACTCCATGAGGGTTAACCACTGTGCCCGGGCTAAGCTAAGATTTGCTTCGCACCTTACAAAAAGCTGTGTCTAAAAAGGCCACTTCCACAACATCAGCCTGCTGAAAAATCCACAGACCACTTCACCAGATCCACCTACTCTCTGACCTTCTGCCTGTTAGAGTAAAGATCCAAGTGTATTTAACAAGGTCTTTATGTCAGTTTGAACAGCATTTTAGGAAGTAAACCAACTTATTTGAAACGCATCTTTGTACAAACATACGTTCTGTAACGGTGACAATCCAAATACAAACAACACATGAACATCAGGAGGTTACACACGACAACACACACACACACACACACACACACACTTACAGTCTGTTTTTTGAGTGTTGACACAGATCAGCACAGAGGCCATGTTAGTAATCAGAGGGAAGGGAAGGATGAAAACACATGCTGAGGAGATTGGGGGGGGGGGGAAATTAGGACATTGAAGGCAGGGTGAGAGGGTGGGTGGAGCGAAGCGTTCGGGTCAAGTCAAAAAACAAGCAGGACGTAACGAGAACTGAACAACTCCCATGTCACTGTCAGGGACAGAACAGATTTCTCGTCAGACCAGACTGTTTATTAATATATAGAGATATGTTTTTATTGAGAATACCTTTGTAAAAAGTCACCATACATTCAAGGTCAAATTTTATAGTCATCACATTTTCATGTTTCCCTCCACGGCATGCATAAGATAAACACTTCAACTAATCGGTAGTTTTCTCAATGGTTCTTCTCCATATACTGTACATACAGTATATGTTGTTGTTTTTTTGTTTTTTGTTTTTTTTTTTACAAGGACAAAATAGGTTTGGAAAGAAAAGACCAAAAGAAAAAAAAAATCACAGAGCCACTCAGGGAATACAATCATAAATAACACTGAGATCTGCAAAGAAGCCCTGGTGGGCATGGGAACTAAACTAAATCACAGCAGCTGTTGAGGAGACTTCACTAAAATAAAAAAAATTAAAAACTCCTTCAATCACACGCTCGCTGCAGGACAAACCCACGGTCATGATGCATTTTTGGCACTTGATTCAACCTTTCTGTGGAGCTGTTTGACTCAAGGTTTTTTCACTTTGAAATGTGTTTTTGCAATGTTTGAAATGCAGTACAATTTGCTGGACTTTATATATTAATGTATATTAGGTTTTCATATATATATATAGATATATATTCTGTATATACTTGAAGCTCCGTTTTCACAAATGATTCGTTTTAATTAAAAAAAAAAAGAGAAAGAAGTAAAGTAAGGCAAATCTGACTGACACACACACACACACACAGACACTCTCTCTGGACAGAAAAACCAAGTCTAGCACTGACACAAGGAAGCACAGCGCCACCTACAGGATCTCTCAGAGTGGAGACATAGTAATCTGCTGCGAGGCCATAAGTTTGAACAAAGCGTTTTGTTTTTTTTTGGAGACTCAGTAACACGGGCCTGTTAGCCTGTGGCTGGAGCACGATGAGAGTGAAGCCTTTTGGCACTTGTACAAGTACATGAACATGTCCTTTTAGTTTGACAAAAAAAATGACACAACCATGTACATGCATGAAAGACAAGCGGTAGCAAAGGCAGTCTCTTGAGAGATCAGTCCGTGATGGTGGACTGTGGCCGGGGACACAGTTATCACAGTCCGTAATGTTGCATGCCGAGCAGGTAGGGCCCGCTCGAGCTCTCCTGCTCAACGCAATCCTCCACCCACCAACCGCTACTGTCCACACGGTCACCACCACGAGCAGCAGCAGCGGCAGAAGCAGCGACAGCAGCAACGGCAGCAGCACCCAGGATGGACGGAAGGACGAAGGAGGGAAAAAAGGGACCCGGAGAGGAAGAGAGGACAGAAAGGAGGCATGAAACTGGCCTCTTCCACTTGGAGAAGGGGTGTGTGTGGAGGCAGGAGGAAGAGTGGGAGGAGAGGTGGAGGTAAGTAGACAGGAAGAAGGCTAAAAGGAGAGGGGAAAAGGTGGGGGAGGAAGAGGCCCCTGTGCTATCCGGAGCTGTCTGTGTCTGTCTGTATGTCTGTTCTCACACAGTCGAAATCAATTTGCCATCAGGACTGTCACTGTGGAACAAAGAGAGAAGGAAGCTTGCCAGGTCGGACACACTCAGAGAGAAATGGAGAAAGACAAGACAGGCACAAGGAGGCAGTGTGGAGTTTAGGAGACGTAGAGGTGGGGGTTTGAAAAAAAAAAAAAATTCAACCCACCCCACCTTCAAATACATCTCCAAACACACCTGCCATGATCAGGAAGATTGGACTTCCAATTCCCTCATCAACACATTTTAGTTTATTTTGTGCATGCTGATTTTTTTAAATATTTCTTTCTCTACATTTCACACTTTGGTCAACATTTGCCTGCGCGAGTCACATAAAACAAGACAAATGTTAAAATTCCTGTTGACGAGAGAATCATCAAGTCATCTCCTCAGCTGGAGGGATGTAGTGTTAGATTAGTCTGTTAGAGGTGAGCACACCCTGCTGGACAGTTGTGTTGTCTCCAAAATACTGATACACAACAAACAAAAACACACACACACACACACTCACAGCAGACATGGGGAGTGTGGGAGGGGCAGCCTGACACTGGTGATGACTGATGGTTGTCAGCATGGTGTCTGCTGTCCACAACAAGGACTCAACCACACAGGAACACACCCGCTGGCACAGCCAGACACAGTGGGTGGACGGTAACTCCTAACCCTGACCTGACACCATCCCCGCTGGGTCAGAAACCCGATGGGACGACAGTGCAGGCTGCATGCCCTGCATAACAGTAGTCCAGAGAGAGAGGCTGAGACCTGGGACATGCAGGCATGTCTGAAGAACCCACTGTGAAAAGAACACTTCCACAGTGGGTTCTTCAGACATGCCTGAACGGAGCAGGTCTATCTGAAGTAGCACCACTCTCTTAGCCCCCCTGTAGTGGAGGACACGCCCCCAAATTCATTTAATTTGCCCATTCTTTAACTTTGATTTCTTTATCTAACAAACAAAGCTACAGATTCATTAAGAGGGGGCAGCATGACACTAGTACAAATACATGGGATTTCTTAACATCTAAATCATAATTATAATAGTATAACATTTTAGTCATGCACAGCCTTAATATTTAACCATTTTTATGGTGATTAAAAAAACCCCAAATTTTACATTTATTCCTCGAACACAACCCTGAATTTCAATAACTGTGCATCCTCTGGAGGTCTTTTTATTGTCTATCAAACTTCACCACTTCCACTGTTGAGGCCATGGTCTCTATCTCCCTCTTCAGGCTACTGTTAGACATTGCATGACGCCCACTGCAGCTGCCCTGCGATACAAGAGGCTGCCGGCTCTGACTAAATAAAACTACTGTACTGACCCCTGAGAATAGACTGCTGTAATTCTTTTTTTTTTTTAAATACCATGAGATATACAAAAGGAAATACGAAAGAGAAAAGAAAACAGGAGGACATATTCAAATGAGGCAATGACAAAGTAAAGATTTGAGTTCACAAATTGGTGTTTGATATTATAATTAGTAATAATTACCAACAATATGAAATAAGTATTTTTGGTTAAAAGAAAAACTATTGATAAAAAGTAACATAATACTGATATGATGCTATAACTGTAATATATAATATATTATAATATATAATAGTACTATACTGAATCGTTTATTGACGTCTGAATGATTTCTGCTTTTATCATTTTAATATTTTTATAAACTATGATATGCCACATATAGTATGTGTAAATGTAGTACTGTAAAGTTGCCTAGCTGTCTCTTACAGCACTATTGAGGTGACAGGGGACGCGGTACTTGCGTGTACTTCTGAGAAACTAAAAACCATTCAAAACTGAAACCACTAAAAAATTAAACAAGTGAAATAATTCAGATGGCAGCAGCAGTCATACACTATCAGTCATTTCTTACACAGCTCTAAAGTTACTTACGTTGTGGCAAAGCGGCCGTCGTAGTCCTCGATGGCTGGCTGAAAAAAGAAAAACAACTTCATTTATTTGGTGCGCCTGTATGCTGTGTGCAGATACGAACATTAGGTGGCAGCAGCTACCGGGAGGACTCATGAGTCACTGCGGGATTACTCATGTCTGATTATGCAATGCAAGAAAGAAAAACAGATGGAGGCCACACATTAACGGAGTGAGTGAAATCAGTACAAGAACGGTGTCACCGCACGTACCTGTGTTCCAAAACCCGCCATGCTGTACGGGCGCGGGCGGGTCTGTGCTAGACTCTGAGCCAGCAGCCGGGCGGTCAGGCCGTAGTCAGGTGTGGGCAGTGATCCATCATTCTCCAACAGGTTGCCTGTGCTGCTGCTTTTCCCATGATGCAAACTGGTAAAAAAGGTCGGAAATGAACAAAGTGTGAGACGTGGACTCATCTGTTCTCTGTGAGTTGAGGGAGAGTTTAATAAACGGGGCCATACTTCACTCTGAGCTTGTCACTGTCACTCTCAGGCAGCACGCGCGTGTAGGAGAATGGGAACCAGCCACGCCTGGGAAAAGAGAGGTCCTTGTCAAACTGTTATTTTCACTTTCCGCAGGTAAACGAACTGCTGGAGAAACGTTTCTCCGATCTCTCTGCATGGATTCAGGCTGAACTGAATACATGAATAGATTCACTCACATCTTGTTCTTCTCGTTCTCGCCGTAGTGCCAGCCGTCCCGGGCTTCGGGCACTAGCAGGGTAATGACATCGCCCTCGGAGAAGCTGAGCAGGGTGTTGTTGTCACCGGCGGCGTGGGAGAAGATGGCCTGGACACGTGCACGTCCGTTCTTCTCCAGGCCGGCCGCCATGGAACTGGATCTGGGCAGGGTCCGCGTTTCACCTGGGGATATCGCACACAGGCAGAATGAGTGCAGACCACGGACTCAGTCAATAAAGTGTTAAAAGAATTCATGTGGGAAGCAATATTCAGCCCACGTTCATCTAAATGTCATGAAAATGTGACTTTGACTTTTGTGGACATCTTACCCACGGGGTTCTTATTCTTGGCAGGAGCGGGCCTGCGCACAGGGAGAGTGTTGGAGTAGACATCGCTGACCTGTCTCTGAGGCTGAGGCTGGGACTGGCCTTGTGCCTGGGTCTGAGGGGACGAAGGCCTGACTTGAGAGACGGACATGGTCCCCCCATCTGTCCAGTACTCCTCTCCGTGGACTCCTGTTGTCCCATTGACCATGGACATGCCATCAGGACCCATCAGCCTCTGAAAACAAAAGCCAAAAAAAAAAAAAAAAAAAAAAAAACTGCATTAAAACTGGAGCATTGATTAGATTAAGAAACAGGGAGTTTATATTTCAGGAAGATTTTCACATTTTCTCAAAGGTCAAAAAGGTATTTTCACAAGATTTAAAAAACAGAATGTCAGAAATTTGAATTTATTAAAATAAGAATTTTGTTGCAAAATTCAGACATCATGGTCAAAACTTTTTCATTAAAGGCAACCTTCCACAGACAGATGGTAAATTTAACTTTAACACATTCATATGATATGATTAACATATACAGGCTGTATACATAGACATATATACGTATACTGTATACATACATATATAGATACATATATACATACTGCCACAAACATCAGAAGATAGACCTGCAGTTCATAGTGTATGTATATATACATACACATACATATATACATACATACATATATATATATATATATATATATGTATATATATATATATATATACATACATACAGTACATATATATGTATATATGTATATGAACTGCAGGTTTCTCTTCTGATGTTTGTGGCGGTGGCGTCTTGTGAGAGTTCATTAAAGTCCAGTCGGTCGGCAGCCACTCAACATGAAATGCAGTTTCCAAACACCTCATTAACTTGAGTGGCTTCTTCAAACCGAGGCTGCAGAGAGGTCCCAGTAAATTACCCTCTTTATGGTGGTCTTTAAAAAAAAGGATGCATTTCCACGAGGACACAGTTAAAGGAAATCAAATGAAGCCATTCCTGTGAACTTATTCAGTCCATCCTGGAAAAGGTGGTTCTATACAAAATGCCTTAAATTCTAAAATTAAAAAAAGTTTTTGTAGTAACCGTTTTTTTTTTCTCAGAATCAACAAATGACCAATTATATGTTTAGCTAAGTGCTAGCTAAGTTGATATGTCCCAGGTTTATCTGTCGTCTTCTTTACTCACCGCTGAGTGGCCCATTCCACTTCCCATGAACACAGCCAGCTCCGGTGGCACAGGAAGAGGCTGCGCTCCAGGGATTGGGTCTGAGATGACCAGGTTGGATTTGGAAGTATGCAGGGGGCTTGTTCCTGCAAGAGTTGCAGAGCCCATCTGCTGGGCCAGGAGCACGGCCCGCTCTGGCAGCTTGTTGGGGTCTGAACAGGCCTGCTGCCACACCGGAATCTTCTGAGTCAGGAGGTCTTTACCCTACGAGCACGAGGAAAAAAATAGGAAGTGATAAAAGTAAAAAAAAAAAAAGAAAGAATTAAAACTGATTTTAAAAAGTACAGTAGGATGAAGATAAACAGTAAAATATTTAAGGGGAACCCAGGGTTTCCAGATCAGTCACTAAAATGGGTATTAAACAGTGTCATCAACAGGTGGCCTGCGGGCATACTGTGTCATTCTAAACTGATCCAATCCAGCCCGCAACTGCATTCCCTAAAAAAACAAATTCAAATAATAATGTTAGACAAAAATGTAATTTTCCCTCAAATATAGATGGCGACCCCTAGTGTAGGCTGCTGTCTTCTTCTGCATGGATGTTGCCCTCTGAATGTATTTTCTGTTTTTGTCGTTGTGAATTAGTGCCCATTCTGCAGACTGTGTGAGAATGTTTTTCACATTTTTACTGAGTGCAAGAGGTTGGCGGGATTTTTCATTGTTCACTCGGGTTTTTAAATTGTTTGGTGTCCTGTTTACTGCCTCAATTTTTATCTGCGGCATTGTTTAAAAAAAAAAACTAAAAAAACAAAATGTCACCTGAACGTTCTTATCGAATAAGCGAAATTGTCAATCTACTTGACACGCAGGGATAGACTGCAGGGTGGGCCGATTCTTGACGCTGTGGTCCTGTGGAGGCAGAGTGTGAGACCAGACTGAGGCTGGAGTTTTGTTTCCACTGGATCATTAACAGCCAACAGCAGTAGGCTGATGAGGAGCACTACATCCTGATGTAGCTGTGTGTTTTACAGTTTGACATCAACTGTCAACAACTTTTTTCTTTTTCTTTGTAATTTCTTAGTAACTACCAGCAGCAAATGAATAGAACGGGAAGCAGAAAAAAATAATTAAACCCAGAAAATCTTTCTGAATATTTTTTTTTTCTGTGACAGTCATAATTTTAGAGTTATTTAGATGAAGAAGCTGCAAATAGTTTTAACTTTTTCTTTATGCAGTAAAGTATGGCCACTTGGTACTAGAGTATACAGTACTCACCAGAGCACGACCGCGTCTGGCTGTGACTGTAACTGGCTCTGACATTTCTTTCCTGAGGTTTATGGGTTTTTTTAAACATCCCGGGGAAATCACTGGTCTCCAGAGCTAAATGTATAAACTGTTTTGGTCAAAAGTGGTTTGAGTTATGTAACAGTAAATTCTGAGCTCTGTCATAATCCACAGCGTTTGAACTGCACTGTAGCCCCCCCTGCTGCGCAAGTCGAGGGAACTAATAAAACTCTTACTTTAAATTGAGTTGTTTTCCCTCTTCCTTTCTTTTTTTTTCCTTATCTAAAACCTAAGTGGTCACTGTGTATTACAGCAGGGCAGATGGTGTCCACAAATATAAGACAAAGTTTTGTGTCACTGCATATGCTAATGTACATCTCACCATCATCTCACTCTCACAGATACACAAACACACTCCAGGGGAGAGGATTCTGCAGTTTGTTAACGGTGAACTGTTCCCACCCACTCCCCCGTGTTCTGATTAATGACTAGACTGCATGTTGGGAAAAAAAAAAGAAAAGAAAAAGACAGCTACTGTCACATCTTCAGGCTAGCAGTTGACACCCACCAGTAAATCCCCTGAGACTGATGTAGTCCATTAACCAAGACTTTTGATATTGGTGGGTGAAGAACAGGCGCACATTTGTCATACACACAAAACCACTACACCCATACATGTGGACGAACACAACCTACATGGAAAGTACTTGGCCAAATTGAGCTACATCGCAATCCAGTGCGGTTTGGAATTGGGAGTTTGAACTTACGATGTTAAAATAGCAAACAGTTGCGGCCGTTTGGTTTGCACTGATTACTTCACTAAACCAAATAACCGAACGATCAGGTCGTTTTTTCCTCACAAAGGTACAATGATGGATTACAGCTTCAGACACACCTGTCAGACAGGCATTGTCTGCAGTCTTAATGCATTTTTAAAATGACAGGGCCCCTATGAGCAGTCACAGCTAATGTGATTTTGAATTATACATCTCCTGATGTGCTGTGTTTGCCGAGCCGTCGGTCAGGAGCAGGTGAGTTCTGCATAAAGTCAACACGACCGTGGAGAAGGTGCTCCAACCAGTGCTGCTAAAAACTTTGAAGACAAGATTCAATAAAACAGAAGCACCTGAGGACCAACTGCTTCTCCTGAGATATAACTACAACTGGGAAGTACACAGATGCACTGGATGTAAGAGCATAACCCTTTATATTTTGACCCAGTGTTATCACCTTAGCTTTTTTGTTTTTTAGTTAACTTTAGGAAACACAGCTAAAATACAACAATTAGCAAAACAAACAGCTATTTACAAAATATATAAAAAAAGTAAAGTAAAATCTACATCAAAGGGAAGCTACAGTTAAAGTTAGCATAGTTTGATAGCGTGCTAATAGACAACAGCATTTCTAGCTTCATGTGTTTCAAAGAATGTCTTGAAAGTTTCCCAAAAAATGAATATAGCCTCAGAATGTTGCACAGGAGCAAATAAGAGGTCACAATGAAATTGTCTGAACTACAGACACATCATTTTCAAGTTCAGGGTTCAAATCCATACTAATAATAATTATGTGGACATAAATTTAACAAAAACGATCTTTGTTTCTTAGTCAAACCTCATTTACCCGTGGCTTCGTTTCTCAGTAACACAGTCTGCGTCAGCCCTGAAGTTTACATATCGCCAATGACAGAAAATGTTTTACTTTTTCTCCCGTCTCCATGATTTTATGAATATGCTGCCAAAAAGTTTCTGTGGACCAAATAGTTTTACAGCATTTAAATCAAATCCTTATGACAGCTGCTGGGTTGTTTGCTCTTGTTGCCAGTGCTGTCAATCACCAACGCACACAAGCACAGTTCTAATGTGGCAGATCAGCTGCGGTTTCCCACAGAGAAAAGTATCAGGAGATTGGTTTGCTCAGGGGAAAAAAAGTGTTTTCTTCCCTGTGAAAAGTTATGTTTCAGCTGGAAGATGGAACCCCACCTGGTCAGTTTTAATCACACCTCGTTTGTATTCTTTTGTCATTGTTTTCACAGGTGTGGCAAACTTCTAAATGATGATTTATGCTATTTTTGAGCTAACTATTAGCAGTTTTGCTGCTATTGTTTTCGGATTTTCACTGTACTTTCAGAACTAAGATAAATATAAAAAGTTTTTTGGGCATTTGTCCTGTATTTAATTAATTACAACTATCTTAAACAATTTAGATAAACAATATGAATTCAAATACAAATTAAGGTTTTTTTTTTGTTGGTTACTTAATGGTTATATTTAGATATTTTTGAACCAAACCTGTACAGAAGTGTGACACTGCCTTTAGCTGTGTCAGGGGCTACACCCCCATAGTATTTTTCCCATCAACACTCACTCCTTTAACCTGATTTTTAATGGTTCTAATTCAGTTTAATGATGGACTGCTCAGTGACAGATGGACTCACCTTGCCATGGTAGGCGCTGCTGTTTTTTGCCACAGCACACTGACGGTCCACCAGGAAGCAGTATCTGCGGCGTTCCTCGGACAAGGCCGTCTTGTATCCCTCTGCGATGAAGGAGTCCAGCTCGGTCTGCTTACTGCTGATGGTTTCCACAAACTGAAACACAGGGTGATGACACATACGTTAGAGATGATGACAAACGAAGGTTTGGGCCGAAGACGGAAGACAGACCGACTGGTGAGGACGCAGCTACAAATGGGAAACAGATTTTCTTGCATCTAAACCTCTGGCCTTCTTATTGCAGCACAATTTTGTCCTGTCAATCACTGCGTCGCTCCACTGGGGCAGTTGGAGGTTAAGTGCACCTCCGTGATGACAGCTAAGAAGTGAGAGAGCGACCGTCTCCATCCAGAATCTCCCTGCAGAGAGCAATTGCAACAAGGCAATTATGACCGAACATCCCGTCGTGTGGAGGCGGAAGCGCTCACAAAGAGCCACTGTAATCACGTTAACATGGTGGACGGTAACAAATAAGAGAGGGAATTAATGTTTGTCAATGAGTGGGCAACACTGACGGAGAGAAAGCTGTCAGCTCGCCTTAGCACGAGTTCTTTAAAAATTGGAATTGTCAGTGGGAAGTTTTCTCACTCGGATCTTTGAACACGCGAACACACGGATATGGTCGACTTCTCTTTTAGCTGAATAAAACAGATGAAGTCAACAGGTGAAGTCAAGAAACCCTTCCATTCTGACCAGACTGGACTAAAGACTATGGAACAAAAACATTTAGAGGAATGTCCGTCAGCTCTAGTGCTGGAGGAATTCCAACTACACCATTACAAAGATACACAGATCTGAACTGACAGGTCACTCAACGAGACCATGAAAGTTAGACGCAGCTTTTGAACTGCTTTTAAGCTGTTTAGGGCTCTTTAAAAGCCCAGTGAAAAGCCTGAACATTGTCCTGACATTGTGGGTGGTGAAGAAGAAATAACAAAGTCATGCTTCCTGAGGAGTGACACTGAAACTTCACCTCCTCTCTTTTATTCTTTCTTGTGTAAACTGTGAAAAAGAGGAACGGTTTTGTTTAAGCTTTGAACAAAACTGTGGAGAGAAAAAAAAAACAAAAACAAAAAGAGGAACGATTTCTACCAACTTCACGCCCCCCATTCCTCACCTTTTTTTCCCTCTCTTTTTCTCTCCACGGTGGAGTGACCCCTTTGTTTTTTTATGTTCAAATTCTCGCAGCCTCTGAGTCACAGTCTGCCGAGCTAACAACAACCACCACTGTGGCCTCACCTCTTGTCTGATCCACACGGCCCGATTCAGAAACCATTCAAAAGGTCACCAAAGTAACCCAAGACAGTGAGTGCAGTGGGAGGAACCAATCGCAGACTCCAGTCACTATTATATGGGAGCAATCTCAGGTAACAGTGCAGCTGGGACGACTTGTTTTGCTGAGGTTATGAATATAAATGAAATCTGCTGGATCTCAGTGCATCTGCTTATGAGCTTCAACAACACCGCTGCCTCTGAGGCTGTGTGTCCTCTCAGACTTTGAATATAAATATGGCCAATCACTGGGCTACGATGAGAGCAGAACATTATTATGCTCTTTATGCGAGAAACTTACGAAGAGGTCTCACTATTTATAACATACTGTAAACGTTAACAAGCAAAAACTGAAGTGCGTAAATAGACAGGGAGCTATGAAAACTCTGCACCATCAGTCACCAAAATTACAAATGCCGTGTTTTTTTTTGAGCATGTTAAAATTGCTCGGTCTGTTGATGATATGCGTTTACATGTAATACATTGTGTTTGTTCAAACTAAAAACTTTTTTAAAAACCAGTTGTCCAACTCTTCAGATAAATTCCACAAAAATAAACACACTTTTCAGCTCTGTCTGCAAACCCACCGAGGACCTTCAGGGACGGGTTTGGATGTGTTGGCTTTGTGCTTTCACCCAAATCCTAAGATGTAAGTCATGCCCCTGAAGTAGAAACAGGAACGTCCCCTCAGATCTTTACACCCACGTACGAGCTCAACTGAACTGCAAAAACCCAAAGTTTACAACCCAGATTTCAGTGTAAGTGTAGATAAAAGCTGTGTGTTTTATCATCTTGCATCTTTTATTATTTAATCTTAAATACTGCAATAGTTAACAAATTATTTATGTTTTTTTAGCCATGATTTAGAGGCAAATCTCGCTTTTATTATTACACAGATACATTTAAAATATTTTTGATTTATCCCTTAAATCTTAACTGTACGATCTCTAATGAGACAAGGTTCTCAGCCAAGACGGCTGCTCATCATAACTGTCTTCTAAACGTGACCATCTTCTCATCTTAATACATGTTTATTTATTTCCCCTGAAATCTGGAGCTAATCAGGAAGTAACGTGATTTGCATAAACTGAGAGTCATATCAGATTACGGCCTTTGGTTCGATGTGTTTGCATGATTTATTCTCATTCTTCAAGTTTTTATTTAAAATCATTCTCTGGAAAATGTAGCTACTGCTTTTACAAGATGAGATGCTGCACTTTGCATTTTCTTTGAACAACCGAGGTAAACACAAACTTACCATCAGAATATCGTTGTCCAGACAAATGTAATCAATGTGACAAAACGCGTTCCACTGCATGGAGTCCACTGCACGTTTTATGTTTCTGGTAATTACAAATATGCTCCAAGTGTTTGTGGAAGACGTCAATAAAGCAACGAAGCAACGAAGCAAAGAAACTGATTTTCCAAGAACAAGAACCTGTATTTTCAGAGGCGACAAGAAGCTGCTTAGCTCCGCTCTTGGATTTCATCACCATCAGCAGCTTTACAGTGAAAATGATTTACAACACGAGAGAAAGAACCCAGGAGACACACGTACGGACCTCTCGTGTGTAGCAGTCGGTGAATACGTTTCATTTCACTGTCCTAGTACATACATTCATCTCTAGGTCTGAAGTTTCATTATATAACTTGAGATATTGTGAGCTTCTCAAAATTCTAATGACTGTAATATTAAATTCTGAACTCCAGCAGTGTCTTTTTTGTCTGCTATCTTATTAACAGCCTTCACGGCACAAATTACTTTATCTCGATGAGACCTCTTTGTGCAGAACCTTGGTCCACTCCAGCGAACTACGTAATGAGCTGATTAGCATTTTGGCAAGGGGCTTTCCCATTGATGAGATAGCAGGGTGAGGGTATCTGAAGCAAGAGGAGCACTGGAAAAAAGATGGGGCATGGGAAAGGAATGGGAGGCATAAGACGAAAGAGAAAGAGAGAGAGAGAGAGAGAGAGCGAGCAGGGATGAAATAGAGGAGATGATGATCAATGAAATGTGGCCAGTATCTGTCACACTTTAGTATTTAATAAAAAGAGAGAGGAGATAACGAAATGGAAAACTTACTTCTCATCTGCAAGAATAGCACAGGTGTGGAGGAAAAAGAGGAGATAGGAGAAAGAAAAGGAGGGGGAGGAAGCGTGGGGGAGAGACAGGGTATGTTGACCTCATCTTAGCATTGTGTACTCTCTCTCATGTACCCAGAAATTAAACCAAAGACCCATTAAAACCCTGCAGTAAACTATATACAGGTACAAGGTCAGAGATTCTGGACTGTTACATGCATGCTACGATCGCAGCTGAGTAAGAGGGCGACCGCCTGGAAGGACCAGCAGTACGATCACCAACAACCACTCACACTGGCATACACAATTCAAAGCCAAGCCGATGTGCATGTTTCTGGAGTGTGGGAGGATTCTGAAGAACCCACAGAGAAAACTCTCCCACACACACACGGACACACACAAGGATGACACGCAAAAATGTTCTTCAAATTTCTGCGCAGAGTCCCGTCGATGTGAGGGACAGGACTTCAAGGAGGATCACATCACGCTGCGTCTCACACCGAAATGTTCACAGACGCCAAATTACCCAGCGCACATATGGAAGTCTAAGACAGACAGGAGCTTGTAATAACCTGCCACTGCTGATGGAGCTCAGCTCGCTGCCCCTCCTCGTTGGAACACTAGGCTGCCACACACACACACGAACGGTATCAGCAACTCCCCATGGCATATCTGACAGTGGAACAAACTGGATATGACACAGCAGTCAGACCAAACCAACACTGGCAGCACAGAGAAATATGTCTGTCTGTGTGTGTGTGTGTGTTCAAACTATAACAGGGGGCGGTGTTGTCTTCAAAGAAAGTGAGCAACAAAATGCTAAGTTTTAAAACCTAGTGGATTTTGTTTCTACAGGTTTATGAATGGTGTGAAGGACAGCGGTCCAGTAACTGATACGACTGTGCCAAGGCTGGGAAACAACTCCCAGGCAACAACGGCACAGAGATCACTGTGCAAGTCCCAACCTGTTGGCTGAAGATTTTTGCTTTCATCCCTCCAGGCACTCAGACTTCCAAGCACCGGGAAGTCACACTGCTCTGCTCTATTCTGTTTTGTAATTCTCCTCAGTTTGACGGTACACCGCGTCTTTGTCGGCTTCAGAGTACGAGTACGAGTCCCTCTGCTGTCAGGAAGGGAGTAGTCAAGTGGGAAAACAAAAATGTGAATCACTGAATTCCTCTTCAGCTCATCAATATTCAGTCAACCTGAACTGCAAACTGGACATTGTTTAGTAAATAAATAATAAAAAAACACACAAGAAGTTAAGCTAAAACTTTTTAAACAATACAGATAAGCAGTATAGGCTGTGCAACCAGAGGCTTGTGGGCCGTACCTGGCACAAACCTTAGCTAAAAGATAATTGTCTTACTTTCTGAAACCTGCATTTTGCTTAGCGGACATTAAGCATTGTTATACACTGTATATTAGCTAATTTTATAAATTTCAGATTAGCTTAGTTTTGTCTTTGTCTATTTTTGTTAAATAATAAACTTAAATTAAAAAATATATTTTATTTTGCTGCATTGTTCTTCTAGGACTAATGTTATATTTTTAGTATATCCTCTGGTAATGAATAGGAGATCAATATTGACTAGATATTTATCCCACTGTTACCTGGCATGTAATCAAACAACAATTCAGTAAAAGACACCGTAATGCAGAAATCCAGCTTGATGGATGGTTTAAATACAAAAGACACATTTAAGCAATGGTTACTGAGTGACAGAGTTTTCTTTTTTTTTCTCTCCTTGACTGATTTAGTCTGTGATTCTGTGCTTGTACTCTGATATTACCCTGATTAAAGCTTTGTACCAGAGCACAATAGACAGTGGAGTGAATGTCTCCTGTTAGCTAACGTAGCCGGTTTATTGTCTTTCTGCGGCGTGTGTCCATGTGCCTGCTCTGAGTGAGTTTAAATGTTGGCGAGGACACAAGGAGCATTATCAATCCTCCACTTTCTTCCTTCCCACTCAGGGCACCGCGCCGCCACTGCCGCCGCCCCCATCCTTGCTGTTTTGTGTATTCTCTTCACTTTATGAAGAAGAAAGTAATTATTTTGCAGAAACACTGGCGAACGTCCAATCCAACCATCACCCACTTAAATGAAATTCAAGTGCAAAATTGTTCTGAACTTCCTTCAACTCAGTCTGTATAATGAAGCCAATGGTTTTCATCAAATTCGTATAACCTTAAGTCAATATATTAAAATATTAAAATATGTGAAATATATTCTAAACTGAAAATCTCTACACAAGTCAATAACTCACACTGTGAGGCTACTTTATATTCTTAAAGTGTTTGTAATGAGAGGTTTGGAACACGGATTAAGAGTCAGAAATACCATTATATATATATATAATATATATTTTAAATTCAGGATATTTAATGATGCTGCAGATTGAGAGAAAGTTTGAAGAATTGAGTAAAAGAAAAGTTAGAAGCTAGATATTTTTGTTACCCAAAAATATTATTTAATATCAGGTTTGATTGACCAGGATTTTTATTGTAACTTGTATTTAAAAAAAAAAAAATACAAGTTACTTTGACGTGAAAGAAAAGCAAAAAGTGACTACTGCAAATCCAAATACCATTATACCAAATTTTCTTCACTTAATGATGATGTCGCTGCAGCGTCCCATGATATTTCAAAGTATTTTGCCGTTTTAAAAAATCCTGCATCAACAGCTGAACTTTGTATGTCGTAGTGGTACTTTATGACAGGTTTGTATTTACTGCCTACACCACCGTCATGTATTCATTCATGATTTATAAAACCTGAACACATACACTATCTTTCAGGAGGATACACAGACGTATGTCTCTGGACATTAACATTCAACGACAGGGTAGAGAAACCTCCGCAGAGACGTACCTGCATCTCCTTCTCTCCATACTTGGAGGGGTTCTTGCTGCCCTGACTCTTCCGGCGCAGTTTCTTCAGTTCACCCTGGCACTTCTCCAGACTCTCCCCTTTGCTCTTGTGCTCCATCTGGTATTTCTTAAGGGCAGCCTAGGTGGGGAAAGAGGCAAAGACAAACACAATTAGGATGATAGAAAGTCATTGTCAAGGAGGATGTGATGTAGGTCTGGGGTACAGAACATGACGCTTTGTAGCCCATCATTTAAACATCACTCATTCTAGTAATATAAACCAGTCTGCAGAAGGACCCTGGAGACGTCCATTAAATATTGTCTGAACATTTCTTTAGCCTGGCACTGTAGATGAAAGGTGACTTTAATATAAGCTCTGTCTCTTTGGTATCTGGGAGTAATGCGTCTACTGAACAACACGCTAATTCTCATAATTATTTAAAAGCTTGTTTTTGTGTGTGTGCTAAGATTTCGCATAAACACAATTACTGGTGTCTCTTAAAATATCAGATTATGCCGTCGGAAGAAGCGACAGCAACATGGACCAAAACAAAAAGAAAGTACTCTGTAATTACAATGCAGCAAAGTAAGTGACCAAAGTAAATGCCTTTAATTCATTTGATTTATTTATTTGGCGATTTATTTATTGAGGAAATACAACTTTGTTTCCAGGCCATACCAGCTCTGTTGCTATAGTAACTGGGACTGGTGTGACAAGGACTCATGCGGTTTGTGTGTGTGCGCCGCAAAACTGGCAGAGAGCAGATCATGCATGAGGGTTCAACACCCACATTTACATATTGTAATCCACCGAGCGTGTTCTCTAGGTAAGGAGGGACGTCTTGGCGTCGTTTGGCTGAAAAGAAGCAGAAGCTGACTTATTGCTGCTGGCACTGGGAGACTATCATTTGGCTTTCATAAAGGAGATGGATGGCATTAGTTGTGCAAGTCAGTCTGGAGGCCTCTTAATAACAATGAGCCACTGGGTTGGGAAATAAAGTGCTTCACTGAAATATCGATCTTTCTATTGTTGTTTTTTTTTTTCACACAAAAACATTTGCACAGACTGCAGTGTGTCTTCCAAATCAAGGAGCCGCTAATAAAAGAGGAGGGGGGATCAATACGTGTTCATATTTACTCCATGACCTTCGGAAACTTGGACTCCCTGCAGGAGAGTCCCTCACTCATAGATCATAGTAATGATTACATAAGACACACTTGGCTATTGTGCAGTTCCAAAGGCCTTTATATCCAAAGCCTCTGCCTCACTGCGCTGGAATGCACCGTCTGTTTAACAAACGTCTGCGGGTGTGCAACAGCAGCACCTGGAAGTACAACTCTTCATCTTCACCACTGCATGATAATCGAGTACAGAAAAATGTAAGCTATCCAAATAATGCTTTGGCTTTAACTACACAATGCAATACTTGTTAAAAGTATCATGTATGGACATAGCTGTGCTGCAATGTCCATTTCTTACATATAATCAATGAGACGGAGACACAGAGAACAGCACCGATACGCTGTTTGCAACATCCAGTATGGTTTAGACTGGTTATAGTTAACTTTTTTTTATGGTAGTATCACTGCTGCAGATCTATAGGCACTTCATTAAAAGTAATAGGCGTTGAAGTCTTTGAGCTCCAGCTCAGGAAAGCAAGAAATTGCTGAAGTCATGGACATTTCAGAGGATTAGAGATGAATCAACGTTTATTACATCAGAACATGTAAGTGTATGATAGAATGTCAACATAATGGCATTAAACTTTACCACTGACTTAAGCTTTGTGTCTAAATGTGAGTGAGAGTGAAAGACCGCTGTAAATCTTAACGCACTCATAAAACAAAGACCAAAAATAATGTATAGTGATACTGTACCACCCCATCCCCCAAAACACACAGCAGAGCTGCTCCACACTCAGGCTTCAACCCACACATTCTAAAGATATCACATGTAGACTCGCTCCTCAGTGACTACACACATGCACATACATATTCTCCAGCAGGAGTTTATTATAATCACTGCATTGGTGAGTGAGTGAGATTTGAACTGTTTTTTCAAAGCAGATGTTTTTTTTCTTCTTCTTCCATTTTTATTTCAATTTTACATCCTGTAAGTATGTCGAGTGTTCCACTTTGATCCAGATGCGAACGCAGTTCCACCTTCATCTCATTAATCAGTCAGGCCTCAACAGATTTGATCAAACACAACATAAATCACTACAATGGGGGGGTTAGCCAATCAGATACTTACAGTCAGATAGCGAGCATCCAGCTCCACCTTCTTCTCCAGCTCAGAGAGCAGTTCATTGTGGAAGGATTTCAACTGGGGAGAAAAAGAACAACAACAATAGCTCCGTGACCTACTAAAGATATTTATGTCAACAACATGGCAATGTAATGAATATAAATGTCGACTTAAGGTTTGAATGAGGTCAAATTGTTAACAATAACAATATAAGCCACCAGTTTGTCACTAACCCACTGAGCTGCACAATTATTTACCATATTTTCTGGACTATTAGTCGCATTTTTTTTCCATCCTTTGGCTGGGTTTACGACTGATACTCAGGTGCGACATATGAAAAAAATATAATTTGACTTGTTTGGTTATTTTACACTGCCAGCCAGTAGAGGGCACTCTAGGTTTGTACCAGTATCTGCTTCTCCTGTGAGTTTCATCCTTTGGCTGGTGCGACTTATACTCTGCAGCAACTACAGTTGCTGAAGTCGAAAATATGATAATCCTAATTGTTATGCAGTACATTTGTTAGTTTATGCATACTTTATAATACTGGTAAAGAGTATGAGGAACTGGAGCATATTAGTTCACACCAATGTCCACTACACAATACTATGTTTTGTGGTTAGTACATTTATGCTTCTTTTCCAGTGTATTTGACTGATCTCTATAATAAGCTTCTTCAATCTTTATTTGACAGGAATATACCTCTCTTGTTCTCATCCTGTTAAATTAACTAAAATATAATGTTTTGGGTTTTCTTTCATTTTGGCCTTCACACAAGTTAACCTTTCCAATTAAGAACTCGAGGTATTCCAAATCTGACATTTACTGTGTTTCTGCAATATGACCTTTAAGTGTCAATCCAACCCTTGAAACATAAAAAAAGTGGAGTTTAGAATACCAACCATCTCCTCTAGCTGCACTTGGATCTGTCTGTGTACCTCAGCCATCTGGAACAGCACATCCCCTGCACGGAGAGAGAGAGAGAGAGAGAAAGGGACAAGGAGAGAGAACAGATCAACAACAATTGATGGCAAAAGCATTTATACAGCAGGAGAAAAACTGGTGGAGGAAGAGAAAGAGAGAGAGAGAGAGAGTGTGTGTGTGAGTGAGAGAGAGAGAAATGAAGAGATCCCAGCGTGCAATTCTCATGCAGTAACACAAGACAAAGAAACACACAAAACAATTGACTTGGAATTGGGACAATGAAGATCAAGACAAAAAGTTTGTGGTTTGGCACAGTTTGACAAAACACACACAGTGTGAGGAAATGTATAGTGAGGAAAACACATGACAAACTGAAAAAAAAAAAAAAAAAACAATCCCGGTCCTTTAAGCAGATCATTAATGATTTCAGATCACATTGTCTTCTCATTGTCTGCGACCAGGACCCCCGCACCCCCGGGGAGAGGGGGGGGGGGGGGGGGGGAGGGGGTCATGCAGCTAATGAGAGCATTTCATTTTCATATACCTACAGGCTGCCTCTTCTGAATATGAATTGCATTGTCAAGAAAAGGAACACAAAAGAGCTACATTGAGCGAAAGAGACATACACCTGGTGGAAAGACAGTGTGAAAAACAAATACAGAAGAATGAGACACACATCCTCCACATGATCTCGAGCCCCTTAAATTCATCTCCAAATATTTCTGTGTAAAGCCCAAGTGACCGATGGTGGACATATAACATATGCAAAACACTGAATACACATTACAACCACGGACATACAGGTTTTCTTATGGTTCTTTGAGTGACATAACGGATGAACAATAGCTGCCAGGTGAAATGCAGCCCCGGCTTTTACTCTTCCTCTGGTGCTTTATTTGTAAATCTGACCTAAAAAGAGCACAGTGACTCACGCTGGAGTGTTTCTGGGAAGTTGTTTTAGAAGCAAGACTTAAGAGATTTTTACAAGACCTTTGGAGTCCCCCCTCCCCTCTCCCGCCCACCCGACACACAGCACAAACAATGCAAAACTGCTGACAGGCGACAGTGACGTGGCTGTGATGAAGGAGTGGAGGCATAAAGACAGGTTGTAGCTGTCGAGAGGGAAAAGGAAAAGAGAAAAATACCACGTATTAGGCTTGACCGCCGTACTGTTAGGTTAAATGTGTGTTTGACAACGAGGGTAACTGAAAATCCATTTAATTAGAAGCCTCAGGCTGTCTGCTGTGCCTTCTGTGTGGTCCACTCTAACAACAGCATCTTAACCTTAGACACCCCCGGTCAGTCAAGAAGACACTTTGTTTTTTCGCTGTAAGCTAGCGAGCTAAACATTAATCCTGGGTAAATAAATAATAACGGACCTTCCTGTCTAATAAGTGTAATATTTTGCAGCTCTAGAGTCTAGGAGATCCAAATGTATGCCACTTTTCCAACACTTTAGCAGACGCTTGACCAAAAGGTAGTTTATCATTTTGCTGTTGGTAAGCAAGGAGAACAGTCTTGCTGAGAACACAAATCCACACCAGAGCATCTGAATAGCAGATGTTTCAAGAATGAAGAATTGTAAGATGTTCAACTTTCCTACAGTAGGTTCACCCGAAAACTCCTTACACCTCTGTGTCTGTACAAAAGGAAGTTGCTGCAGAATCTTTACCATTTCAAAAGAAATCTAACAAGAACAGAAAGGGCATAATCATCAGTATAAACAGAAGGGTTTATGTTTCACTGTTTTATTTTGTGTTTTAAAGGTCTACCAAAATTCTATATTCATGATAAAAAAAATGTATTCACAAATATAGAGCGTCAATTACTGGTCCATTAAAAGTGGAAACAAATGGAAATAGCAAAATTGTTGATGTTTTAAAAAGACGTTCAGACCAGTTCACTTAAAAATACATTCAAAACAAAAAATAAACTATAAATGTATACACTCACTTTTATTATGTAAATTATTACATAATAAAAGTGTGTTAGCATTCACTTGACTGGAGAGCATAAGGCATATTACTAACTCTGACTGGGTGTTTTATTTTGTGTCTGCATGTGTGTTTGTGTGTTACACTATTTGGTGAAAAAGATACAGACAGAGACAGAGACGAAAGAGAGGGAGAAAGAATTTCCCCACACCACCACACCTCTGCCTTTTACAAGTTAAATACAGCCCAATCACTGTCTTTACAACTCCATACATGGAGTCGCCTGCCCACTGATCCTGTTCCTCAGAGCAGCAGAGGAGTGGGCCAAGGCATTCTGTCATTTCCCAGCAGCCCTGCTAAGCAGCTTACAGACACTCATCCCTGATCACAGCCCTCTGGGCTTAGAAACCCTGGCATTCTGCTGTGGCTTCAACTAGCTGGATCAATTAAATTAAATGAGCAGCCATCAGTATACCCCCCTCACACACACACACACACACACACACACACACAGACACATATATATTAAACAGGAAATGTGACAGGGGGCTTTCAAGAAGCCAGAACCGTACAAGACGCATGAATCACCGACGGATCTCGCCCTGTCATCTGCAGTTTCTCTGCCGCACAACGTACAATATCAAAGCATGAAAGGCGAGGGGAAATAAAAGTCACACTTGGGAGATGCAAATAGTTTCCATGGCAACTTCAATATCATATTTCACAACAAGAGGAAAAACTGCTCTGAAACCGTCAGGGCCAGTTAGCAACAGAGAATCCATTGACCAGAAACCAGTTAGGCAGCACACAATACTGTAAATCTGAGGGCGTTATGTAATGTTGTTGCTGAAATATTTTGCAGGCATGACATAACCTGAGATCTGACAGGGATTTCCGCTTCACACTTAAAGTGACAACAGACAGGTCGATAACTACGAACAGAAACTAACAAACACACGAAGGCACGTGCCTCGCCGCACAGCAGGTACAGAAACATATATTTCCATAAAGATTTGTCACGTCTGTATCAATAGTTCCCAATTTACTCAAAAAGCTCGTCTGTCCCTGCCGGAGAGAAAACAATCGTTTCTTTGTGCAGACGAGAGCTCAGGTTGATCTGCACCTGCAGCACAGCAACAAGCAGCCACATGTCTGTTGGCTTTAACCCCTCGAACAGACAGGCGAGTAAAGAAGGAGGATGTTTTATTTACAGGATAAACACGCTGTCCCCTACCGCGTGACAATACATCCCTACAGTTTTGTAAAAAAAGAAAAGAAAAAAGAAAATAATGTATTGAGTGCTTGTGTAACAGATGATAACACCCACACAGGTAGAGCAAGAGAGAGAGAAGAATAACAGAATGTGCACAAGACATAAAGGAGGAAAAAAAAAACAGTTTGCGAGATGAAGAGTGAAAATAAGAGAAGCAGAGATGCAGGGCCGGAGAGGACGGAGGTGGATGTGGAGAGAGACGAGTGAAGGTCAAGCTGGATTCACTACTGGTTGTCATGGAAGCTGGAAAATGTTTGGGCCATCGCCATGGGAGAAGTTACAAGATGAGGGGCTGCAACGGCACAGTGCTGTGTTACAACAACACTTTCTTTTTTTTTTTTTTTTTTTTTAACAAAACGTCTCCACCCTCACTATCAGCTATCATTACATCACCATCTACCTTCTACGCCTCCCCTGGGGAGACACCTGTGTAAAGTACACCGGTGTGTATGTGCCTTGTGTTCATGATTCGACATACAGCTAGACTAGGCCAAAACCTGCCTCGCTGGCATGCTACGTATGTCACAGGGGAAAAACAAAGGAGTTAGAAAGCACAGTGGGGCAGCAGGCTAGCGTGCGAGACAGTGGGTAATGGCTGCGAGTCAGTGTGGCTGACTCTGAGTGTGTACATTTGTGGAACGACGACACAGTGTAAGATTTAATACTGTTTTAGTCCAGATGAACAAACGATTGTTTGAACAATAGCCACACAGAGCTACATTTAAAACAGGTTACAAAGTGCTGGTCATGTTAGCCTTACAGAATAAGCTAATAATCTTCATTAAAGCTTTAGTGCAGCTGCAGACATAATAAAAAAAAATAAAAATTACCGTAATTTCATTTATGTGAAATCAAGTGGAAGTTACAGTAAGAAAAATTAAACATGAAATATTACATACTGTACAGCATGTCTTCTGTAACTGAGTTTTGAAAATGTGGCCATGTCAGTGTGTAACATACGTGGCCACGATATAATAATTAAAAGCACATTCAGTAGAGCCCTAGAGCAGGCACACAGTATGAAAAAGCAAATAACGTGATTTAGGTGACATGTACAGTACTGCTGAGCTGGCCTGGGTACTACAGTATCACAAACTGCTGATCTGTGCAGTTTTACACTTCAGACAATCTCATAATTTAACTTTAACCGCAACACATGAATTGTTGTTTTTATATAATAAAAACTACACAACATTAAACTGGTCTGGGTTTGACTTTTACAACTAACAATTGTAAGTTGATCTTAATGACCAGATGTGTCCCAACCAATAGAAAGGAGAAGAAAACACAGTCAGAGGGCAGCATCCCTGCAGATGAACACATCACTATACACTCGTAGTGACAGTTTTCTCATCGAAAAGCAGAAAAAAGGTCTGAATGATATGAAACTGTGGAGAATGGTGCAAAAGAAAAAAACAAACAATATCGTCCGACTATAGATGCACAAAAACAATTTGGATTCTTAGCCTAGTAGCCTATTATAAATCCATCCCGCACACTGTCACAAATTTGGGTCATAATGAAGTGGATACCTATACCAGTGCTGAACAGAACTGGGTCAAAGAGTTGCTGCGCGCTAATCTTGACATTTATTCTGAGACAGTTTCAGGTAAAGCACCAGAGCATGGACTGCTGGGTAACGCCACATAAGTCTGGGGTAAATCTACTCCATCTGGTGTTTTTCCTCTTCTTCTTAAGCTGCTTTTTTATCTATTAGCCTAACCCAAAGCAGCTTTTATTGTGGCGGGGTGGCTGATGTTAAACTCTGATTTGGTTAAGTGCTGTTAAGTTTTTCACCGAAAAGGAATGTATTTATTAGCTGACGTGCTCAAA